AAAGAACCTCATGTTTAGTTTTAATTCGTTCTAAGAGTCACATAATGTTGTTGTATGGCTACAATTTCACTAATGTCAATCACCAATTTGCAGTTAAAATTCTATATTTTTCTTACCTGCTTGTAGTTTCATATAGTTATGAGCTCTCATCAAGTTGCCTCTTGAGTTTTTGCAACACTTTGTCTCTATTGGTTAAGGACTCTTGAATAGTAGGAGGATCTTTTAGAATTGACTTCATAAGGAATAATCGAGGGAGGTTCCCTACCAAATATAGCTTTAAAGGGACTCATTTCTATGTTGTGATGATAGGAAGAGTTGTACCAGTACTGTGCCCAAGGAAGCCTAGAGTACAAAGCTTTGGGCTTTCGAAAACATAACACCTCAAATACACCTCTAATGTCGTTAAGTAACTCAAATTGTCTATCACTTTGGAGATGATATGTTGAGCTCATCGCCAAAGTTGTGCTTTGAGCTTTGAATACATGTTGCCAAAATGAACTGATAAAGACTCTATCTCTATCAATACAATGGTTCTGGAAACCATTGACCTTAAACATTGGAGCTAGTTATGGCCAACTTAAGGAACTTAGCAATCCTTGGCTGTAAGAAATTATTTGAGTTGTATCCGTCCCACTAAAATGTGACTAGGAAGGTATTGATATGAGCAATAAAATGAACAATGCCAACTCCTAAGCCTCCTTTCATAAATTTAAGGACATGTGATGATTACCTTTTAATCTTTCTTCATTGTTTGTATGAGTGATAGAGTGCACATTTTCAGTATGATTATCAAGATCAAAATCCTCTTTTTCCGTTTGTAACATCAACAATTATTTGTTGGGACATCGATGATTATAGGTGATTTTTTCATCACAAAAATAGCATAATTTTTTTTTCTCTCCTGAATTTCATCTCAGCAAGTGTAATTTTTTTTTCATTTAAATTCTGATTGGAGGAGTGGTAGTGTGGGTAGAAGCGGTGGTAAGACTGTTTAGGTGTAATTTTTGCTAAATTAAGATTAGTACTGATAGATGAAAGTGGAGAGTATTTGTGATTATAATTGGTAGAACGTTGGTGAATAACAGGAGTATACTTTTCTTCATCAACTTGGCTAAGAAATTGCTCTAGTAGGTCAGTAGGACATTGAGCCACAACATCCCTTCTGACACCATGATTTAAGCCACTTAAAAAGCAATTCAACACAACTGCATCACTAAGACCTTCAAATCTATTTGCTAGCACCATGAATTTCAAGTAATATTCTAAAACAGTACCTGACTAATACAATTTGAAAAGTTCTGCCATGGGAGAATCAAAAGGAAATAGTCTAAAATGGCTCTCCAAAGTTCGAGTCAGATCTGACCAAGTCTGAACTACTGACACGCATTGCAACATTTGGAACCCAGAATCACGTCTTTCTCAAAATGGATTGAAGCTATATCTACTCTCTCTTGGTCAGGAGTATAGTGATAATTGAAAAACTTCTTAGCCTTAAAGATCCATTATAAAATAAGAGTTGTGCCATCAAAGTGAGGGAATTCAAGGGAGATATCGCGTACCGGCAACACACTACACAATGTCACTATCACGGTGAACTATTTGAGTTCGAATCATCATTGTGTCAAGTCTTTCCTTGATTCAACAAATTTAACGATTTTTGCATTTGGTTAATTCAATCACTGTTTGTTGTTTGGAATTGGATGATCATATCCCAATTATTCGATGTTTCTCGATCCAATTCAAAATTTCAGTGAGTAAGGTTTGCATATCTTTCATACAAGGTTCTTAGCCATTGATGACAATGAAAACACCAATGAAACAATAAAATTATATTGATAACAAAATTACCACAAATGAAAATAATCTGAGTGTTTTTACAACGGATTGAAAAAATAAATATAATATAACACTCCTAGGTGAATCTCGAAGGTTCTACCTAGATGAGATAAGGTAACAAAATTTCACAAGGAATAAAATGATTAGTCAACAAAGAGAGAAAGAGAAGAGAGAAAAGGTTCATACCAAAAACTTCATCTCTCAATTATAAAAATCCTTTAAAAGCTCATTCTTCTTGTGTGGTCTCGTGCTTCTCTTTGTATCCTTCTTTTGCGGATCCTCTTCCACTTATCCAATTCTTTCAACCGAATTTCCGATACAATCTGATTTCTCCATTCTATTTGTCACAATTAAACATTTAAATTTATATTATTTTTTTATATTATATTATGTAAGTTTTTTTAATTGTAAAAAACTTCATTAATTAAATAATATATTATAAATACTTTATGTCACTTTAATTACAGGTACAAAATCGTATAGTTATCTTTTATTTTTAATGTGATAAAGAATATAATTTTTTTACTAAGTCATTTTTGTCCTTTTTTTTTTAGTATGTTATTACTAGTGACAATGAAAGAAGTCATTTTGAAATGCATATAAAACTCTTATAATGTCTAGACTAACTTGTTGGAAAACTTCTCACACGTGTTTTATAAGTTGTAAAAAGAAGACAACCCAACATGGTTTTATATTTTGTGAATATACTTGCAATATATATATATATAATATTATATATATATATATTATATATATATATATGGGTTTGCTAACGCGCGTACGCCTGTTTTTCAGTTGGTACATTTTAGCAATGTGTACCGGGTTTTAGTAGACAAAAATATCCTTATATACCATGATTTTAAGTTCTAAGGTTAAGGGTATTTTAATAATTTTCATTCTCAAAACTAAAAAAAAAAAAAAAAGAAACCCCCAAACCCTTACTCACCTCTCTCATTCCTGTAAACCCTTTCTCTTTCATCTTTCTCACTCCAATCTTTTCTCTGTCATCCCTACTGTAGTCCCAATTGAAAAAAATCAAAACACCCTACTTGTCCCCAATTGAAAGTTAAACAATTTTACCAAAAAAATAATTTTATAATGAGTTTTGATCTTATAATTTTTGTCTTATCTATTTATCCAATTTTCACAAGCATAAAGGAATTGGTAATTGACCTGGAAAAAATCAGAAATACTTGTTGTTCAACATTCTTACAAAAATGACTTTATAATAAGTTTTTATTTTATAATTTTTGTCTTATCTAATTTGATCTAATTTTCACAAGCATACTGACATCCGAAAGAATTGGTAATTGGCCTGGAGGGTTTTTTTAGAGATGATGATTCAACAGATGATGAAATTAGAGAAATTAGTGAACATGGTGAAATTGAAGAGATCTTGAATGAACCTTTACAAAATTGTTTAAAGGCAAGTGTTTTCTGATTTTTTCAATTGGGGCTACAGTAGGGATGACAGAGAAAAGACTGGAGTGAGAGAGATGAAGAGAAATGATTGAGAGGAATGAGAGAGGTGAGTAAGGGTTTGGGGGGTTTCTTTTTTTTTTTAAGTTTTGAGAATGAAAATTATTAAAATACCCTTAACCTTAAAACTTAGAATCCATGATATATAAGGGTATTTTTGTCTACTAAAATCCGGTACACATTGCTAAAATGTACCAACTGAAAAACGGCGTACGCGCGTTAGCAAACCCCTATATATATATATAAAGGGGTTTGCTAACTTTGCGTATGTTCTTTTTTCAATTCGTATATTTTAGCAATGTTTACCCGATTTTAGTTGACAAAAATACCTTCATATATTATGAATTTTAAGCTTAAGTTCAAGGATATTTGAATAATTTTCATTCTCAAAACTAAAAAAAACAAGAAACCTCCAAACCCTTACTCACCTCCCTCATTCCTCTTAACCACTTCTCTTTCATCTCTCTCACTCTAACATTTTCTCCTTTATCCCTACTTAGTCTCAACTGAAAAAAATCAGAAACACTTGCGGTTAAATTTGTTTTTGTAAAAAGTTAAGTCATTGACATATTTGCCTTCAGGCAATGTTCATTTAAGATCTCTTCAATTTCATCATCTTCACTAACCTCTCTAATTTCATCATCTGTAGATGTTGAATCATCATTTCTAAAAAAATTCCTCAAGCCAATTACCAATTCCTTCGGATGTCATTATGCTTGTAAAATTAGATAAAATTAGATAAGACAAAAATTATAAAATGAAAACTCATTATAAAATCATTTTTTGGTAAGAAATTGTTTAACCGCGAGTGTTTCTGGGCCAATTAACAATTTCTTCGGATGTCATTATGCTTGTGAAAATTAGATAAGAAAAAATTATAAAATGAAAACTTATTATAAAATCATTTTTTGTAAGGAATTGTTTAAAATGTACCAATTGAAAACCCGTACACATTGTTAAAATGTACCATTGAAAAAGTTTAACAAACTTCACGCCACACGTGTGTGTATATATATATATATATCTATATATATATACACATATATTTTATATTTCAAAAGAAAATTATATATTTATATACAAATTTTGTGACGTCCAAATTTGTTAAATATCCGCCATGATGTTTTTTTTAAATGTAATTTAGTTATAAAAAAGTAAAAGTCAACCTATTCACAACTGTGGTGAGTTAGATTAGGCTAATCTTATAATCCTCTAATTGAGTAAGAAAAAAATAATTATTTGGATAGGAATAAATATGACACCTAAAGAGTTTACTCATTTTATCCTAAAATTGGTTACATGATTTTGAAGAATTGGATAAATATTTTAACTTGTTATTACAAATTTTTACTAACTGTAAGTGTGATGGAAAAAGACTTAAGTCTTATATTTTTGTTTAAAAAATTTATTTTATGATTATTTAAAAGGTTGAAATTATTAAAAAAATATAGTTTATTTTGTTAAATTTTAGAATTTGGGGGATGGATTCCTAACCAGTCATACACACCTAAAGACCATCTTTTCTAACATTTTCAAATATTGAAGCATACTAAACAATTTCAACAGATTTTGTTGACACTACAGGGGCAAAGCTAGGATTTCAAAACTCATGGAGGTGCATGGAGAAATTTTGAGAGGTGCAAAATGTAAAAGCCTCCCAACAAGTTCAGCCACCCAACCCCCAAAAAACCCAAAGGGTAAGGAAATGTGTAAAAACCGTGTCCTACCCTCCAAAAAACCGCAACGCAAAATTCGCCGGCGAAATTTATTACCGGCGGGAAACCTGGTCGCCGGAATTGGCACGCTTCATCGGAGCCTATGAAACCAAATCCGTTCATATTCACGAAACCTTATTCAATTCCATCGATATTTTCACGATATTTTCCCTTCTCCACTCACAATCGCCATTCCTTCAACGACTCCGTTGCAGGATGCAGCGCCGTTTATCGTCACGCGCTCCAATTCCAGCGCCCCGCCACTATTCGGTGGAGCCCGCGCCTGGAGAACACCGCCAGCTTCATCGGCTCTGTCACGCGCGAGCCGGCGCGTGTTAACTCAAAAACCGGTAACTTCGGAATTCACACTGTGCTCAAGGTTCGAATATCCAACCAAGCAAATAGCTCCTTTATAAGGTGCGTTCTATTTTTCTGAAATTAAAATGATTACAATTCAATGAAATTTGCAGTGTTTATTGCTTTGGTCGGAAGATTGTGACAGAAACTACATTGTGCTGTGCCTTTTGTTTACCAGGGTGCTTCTGATGATGTGGAACAGTGTGGCAGAACTTGCTTTGGAACACTTAAAACCAGATGATTTTATTTATGCTTCAGGTTCTTTGGGGTCTTACACTAAACCTGATGCTGGTGGAATCCCTCGGTTGAAATATAAGGTTATTTATACAATTATACATTCACAGATGTCTGATAACTTAGGGATACTTACTTTAGATGTTAGAGCAAACTAAATTGATACCCGATTTGATGTTGTCGTTTAACGTTTATAGTAATCAATGTATTTCTTGGATGATCAGTGAAGTCTATTTCAATCAAATAGAGGGGTTAGTGTAGGAATACAAGCAGGAGGTGTATAGGAGGCAATTTGATGAAATTTCAGGGTGTTGATGTAATTTCCTTTAAAAGTTGTATCTAGGAATAATTTTAATTTGATGGATAGAGTAAAAATCTTTGCGAAATACTATAGGAAAACAATGCACTGGAGTGATGATTAAAATTTTGAAATGTTGTTACTTGGTCATTTTCTGTTTGTTGGAACCAATAGTAGTCCATCGTGCAAGTTTATCCCTGGATTTTCTGTTTGAGGGACTATTTCATCATAACTTCACTCATTTTACATATTCGCATGAATCTGGTTTGAACTTTATGGTACGAAGTTTTCTTTGCGTGCCTGTGTGAAACCAGATGATGAGTATTGCTTTATTTGGATTGTACTCACAGTTTAGCTGCTATGATCATTTAGTAAGTCTATGCGATAAATATCTCATTTAGTGTGCGGGTGGATTAGTTTATTTTGTGTTAGGAATAGGCTGTACTTAATGTCTTTTGAAGAGACATTTTGAAAGTGAAAAAAACGAAAAAAGAAAGCAATCTTCTCTTGTAATTTAAGCAAACCTTAAGATGCTATTAGGTGGCTAATACCCTTTCACTCAATAGATTTTCTATCCCCTGTCAATATCGGTTATATGGATATTACGTGCAAAGAACTCCTCCTTTTCCTATTACTTCAACGTCTTGAGAATTGCTCTTAAGATTTAATGTTCATGTTTCTAAATTCCTATCCTTGAAAATGTATTAGTGGTGTTCGTATGCTCAAATTGCTCACTTATCATTACACTTTTTTTTTTCTTAACTTGCATAACATAATTTGATATGTTTCCCTCTTATGTGTGTAAATTTTGCATTTAATTCTACAGCTATATGTGAAGGAGTTCAAGTTTGTTACTCAAAGGTCTGGTTATCAAGGCCACGAGAAGTTGGAATCAGGTAAAGGTATGTTTTGTTGATTGCTTAAGTTCATACAAATGCCAAAAACTGTTGTTTTTCTTTGATTTTTTCATCTTGTTTGGAAGTATCAAAACATATTTCCCAACTAGGTCAGTAATTGATATCAAAGAATCAAGACAAATTCTTATTTACAAATAAAGTTTCTAGCATTGGCAATATTTATTTTCTATTGATAGAACAATTTTTACTTTAGCCAAAAAAACGCAGATTTGGATGCTGGTATTAATTTTGTTAATCTAGTGAGTACAGAGGAAAAGGAATCTGTGGGAAATCTTATGCATTTTTATGCATATTAAGTAATCACTTTTTTTCTGGGAAGTATTATTACTAGACAGGCGTTGTTGTGCACTTCAAGACAGAGAAATCTGGTGGGCTATATTTTGGGATAAACTAATATTCTGTTATCGTTTTAACACCCCTTTTTAAATTTTTGCTTGAACAGGCTTCTCGGTGGTTCTTGATTGAGTTGGTTGTACAATTTTTGTGGTTGCTTCATTGGTCTTAAACTGATTTATTTTTAATTTTTAATGCATTTTCCTGGTCTTATTCTTCTTATCATAAACAAAAATATAGCAAACGTTGGCATGCAAAATAATCAAAATCGGCTTCACCTCTGGCAAGTGTTTTTTTCCAATCCAAATGAGTGGTGGGATCAAAGAAAGCGCAAGTTAAATTCAAAACAGCCTGATTTTAAGCACAAGGATACTGGTGAAGTTCTGTGGTTAAGTCCATATGATCCTCCATGGGTTAGAAGACAACTCCAATTGCTAGACTCAGAAATGGCAGGAGGTCGTCATCATTCTCGTGTCTCAAACTGGGTTTACGATGATTAGTCTATATGGCTAAAAGACGATGTGTGTCGGTAATGGAAATTATACACTATAGCTTTGTACATACTCTTAGCATATGGAACGAAATGTACAGCAAAGTGATAGTGGCACCATTTATTAAGAGAATGGAAATCACTATGATAATGTTAGTGACCATATTCTACGGGCAAACCATCTCAGCTGTGAGAAAGCTTGGCCCTGTTGATAATTACTCAGAAGCCTGAAAGAATGAAAGAGGTAAAGTTAATGACTCGAATTCGTGGTCTAACCTGAAAAGGTTGTGGTTTGACCAATTTGGTGAAGAAATATTTTAAAATATTTCTTTAGTATTTGGTTTTAGTTGAGTTATCGGGCCCGAGACAAGAGCCCACTACTGATCCTGGTCGGGCGTGCGAGGCTCGATCCCTATGATTTGGACCTTTATGTTTTGGGTTAGGATTTTATAAACACTAATATAATACTGCTATAACAATTTTTGTTTTTTCATCTCTCTGTGAATTATTTCTTGTTAAATTTTTGTTCATTCTTTCTTTTACCTGTTCCACATTATTTCTATAAAAAATAAATCATGATAATTTATTATTAGATATGATTAGGTAAACCCGTAGTATACCACATTTGTGTGTACACATGCATCAATGATAAGGTTACGAGGTTTGAAATCTTCGGAACTCCTTGTTAAATAGGTTGAGAACTTAAGATGATGTTTGTCAATTCTCAGATGGTGGAAGCTTCACGTACTGTT